CAAAGGGCAGACAGTGTGGAACCAGCTCACACTCAAGGCTGACTTGAATCGAATCCTGACTCCAGTACTATATGATTCTACCACACTGAACCAAGTCTATCTCTCTGAGAAAAGTCTACCCTTCTGAAACTCAATTTTCCTCCTCTCATCTGCAAAATGGGAACAATATACTCTACCTCCTGAAAGTGTTGGGTTGACCTCTGAGAAAGATTGGACCATTTTAATGCTCAGGTTATTAACAGCCACCTAAGGTTCAAGTTCCCAGAGGGAAACCCCAGCTGCAGGAATGCTTATCCTCCAGGAAAGGTCATCTTCAGGACTCTACTGATATGGAAAGACAGAAGTAGACATCTAGAGCTGGGTAAGACTTCCACATACTTACAAATGCCAGAACGAGTTTCCTATGGCATTTGAATATGGGTGGGTAGCAATTAAAAGAAAAAAAGAAAATCCTATTTCTATAATTCATAATAATTGGAGGACCATAGTGACTGGTCCCAACCTTTGATGTGTTATTAACAGCACCCCACACACACCAATAAATGCAAAATAGTGGCTTTCCAAAGGCCAGGAGAATTTTCTTCTGTTTAGACAGATATTTGCTTTATGAATTGTCTGATCAGAGGAAAGGCCTTAAAATGAGAAGGTAGGGGGTGATCTCCAGGAAGATGGCTTTATTTGCCCCCAGAACTATCATTCCTGGGGTGAGATGATAATGCCTGGAAGCCTGTGACACAGGAAATACCTGGTTTGTGGGTCTTGTCTGCCAGGCAGACGGAGCTGAGCCAAACTGGGGTCCGAGGCACAAGGACAAATCAGTCATTCTTGTGTAAGTATAAGTCAGGGCATCCCAGTCTCTGCACTGTTGACCTTTGGGTGAGATTAATTCCCTGTTGTGGGGGCTTCCCTGAGTATTGGAGGATGTTTAAGAGCAACCCTGGCTTCTATTCAGTGGATGCCAGTAGGACCCTTCCCATCACCATCCCCTCAAGCTGGCACAACCAAAACTGTCCCCAGGAATGAGTAAATGTCCCCAGGAAGGCAAATCCATCCCTGGTTGAGAGACACAGCTGGGAATTCAATGATGTTGCATGGACTCACGCGCATCTCCCGACCCCATCACAGCAGGAGACAAGGAAAGGAGCTTCTAATAAAGTTTTTCTCTCCCTCAATTTCCCCACCTCTAGACACTATACCATGTTTTTACATTTTGTGATTTATGACACATATATTCTGCCCTATAAACTACAATATGTGTTTCTTGCTTTGTCTGCAGGCAGACTATAAATTGGCAATAATGGTTGCTTCTGGAGTGAGGAACCGGTGGCTGGTGACAGATATGGAGGGAGAGATTTTTCAATATTTGCTTAGACATCTTTTCAATTTTATACCATGTGGAAGTACAACATTCAAAAAATGAATTAAAATTTGAAAACTTTCTGCTGTGACTTGCACATAATTTGGAAGATATGATTTTTTTTTTAGATTTTTTTTAAAGATCAATAAAAGTAATTAGCTATCTGGGGAAGGGAGAAAAATGTAGAGAAACATACATGAAACTCTAAACAATGATTATCACCAGGGGATGAATTCTATTTCCAAGGTCACTGAAGAACCTCTAAAGTTTGGGAAGAGAGAGGGGGAACCTTCTGGAAGGAGTAGATATTGGGAAGCAGGGACCCTTGAAAGGAGCCCCATGAGGGAATAGGACATGGAAAGAGGGAGGCATGAATTAAGATGATGGCAGTGGAAATGGAAATATATGGACAGTTTCGAGAGAAGAAAGGACAGCTCTATGGCATTGGACTGTTTGTTAATTTCCCTGAGACTGTTTTCTCAGCTGTAAATTGCACATGATTATAATATATAAGCGGCTAACGTTTATCATTGTTCTTATCATCATGTATTTGTTGATTATCTTTCATCCTCAAGGCAGCCCTATGAATTAGGTACATTACAACCGTCTAATTTTGCAGATGAGTCATTCGAAGTACAGAGAGGCTATGTAACTTGGCCAGAAAATGGCAGAGGCGGGGCTGGAATCAGGCAGTCTGGCTCCGGAGCCCAGCTTCCAAAGATCCCTAGAGCTGGGGCTTAGCACAATGCCTGGCACCGAGTAAGCAAAAGAAATGTTAAGGACTCTGGTTATTATACCAAAAGGCTAGGATCCCTACCCTACCAAGTGCCCACATCAAAGGACGGAGTTCCCCAAGCAGAGACCACATGCCAGCTTTGCTGTCCCCGGAAACTACCCTGGCACACTTAAGGGCAGCAATTGCCCTATTAGAACGCAAAATTCTTCAAAGATTTGATGGGTGGAGATCCCTGGAAGGGGATTCTGTAGATGAGAAGGGGTTCAAGGAAATCCTTGAATCCTCCCTGGGGAGTTTTATTTGCACAGAAACAGATCCTACGGCCAGGAATAGAAAGGAGCACCACATGTCAAATAATACGAGCAACAGCTGCCTCTTATCATGTGCCAGACACTGTGCCAGATGCTTTTGAGACAGTTCAGGTTATCCTCCCAACAACCCTATGAGGTCTTACTATAGTGCCCATTCTACAGATGAGGGAGCTGAGGCTCAAAAATGGATTTGCTCAAGTCCCAGAGCTGGGAATTACTTGGCGATGACATCTGAAACCAGGTCTCGCTAGAATGAACACCACGTAACTGTCCTTGCCATCTGAAATCCTCCCTCCAAAAGCCTCATGGGCTGCAACCGGGAATCAACTGAAGT